CCGTCATCGCGCCTGCTGCCCACACCTCTGCGCCTCCAGGCCGCAGCGGTTCCGCCGAGATCTCGAAGCCTCTGCCGACTCCCGAGAACACACATTCTACACCAGACGAGACGGGAAGAAAAAAAAAAAGACCGACAGACTCGACCTCACGACCTTCCCAGAAAATATGGCTTTTAAAGTGGGGCATGTAGATGTACAAGTCGAAGGTGAGAATATTTTGACCAAACATCACTGGTCATACTAGATTATATGGGCAAAAATGAAAAGAACAATGAGCAGCTCGAGCAATTATGTAGCATCACCAATTGAAATCCGACCGAACCCAGGCTACCCACCCCTAGACGATCTTCACAGCAAGCGTGCTCATTGTTGGAGATATTCCAGACACAAACGGGGGTATGAACCTTTCCCGCCAGGAGATCTGGGAATTTGGGATACCGCGCTCTTGATTTCATCGCCTTGGCATCCCCCCTCCCCCTCCCCCCTCAAAGCCTCCAGTGTGAACACTCGCGTCTTGAATTGATGCAGCCTTACCTTGGCAATCTCCCATACGAACGCCGTCACAACTCCGCCAACCCGGAAACGGCACCGGACCGTGAGACGCGCATCATGACAGCATGCCGTCAAAGCCATGTTCCTCCCTCATCGACAGCCTGACCACATCGCCCTCGCTTAAGAAAAACCGTCCCAGAAAACAATCATGATCCATCCCTCTTCTTCTCCTCCCGCACAGCAACACAGCCTGATATCACCCAGGGATCGTCCAGATAAGCCCCACGTTCTCTCACACCTCCGGCCGGCCCCCACCCCCGCCAATGTCCGAAGCAAGCAAGCAGAGCTCGCTCAGCTCCATGAGCCGTCAGCACTAACCCGCCCGCTATCGATGCTATGCCCTGCAACCCTTTTCGGCCCCCAAAATGCCGCCCTACACTAATGTCGCCTTACGCTTATTACCTCGACTACACAGGAATCATCGATCGGGAGGGAGGGAGGGAGGGTAACGTGACGGTGGGAGAACCCATGGCCCAGGCTAGGAAAGCTGGCTGCTCCCAGCCCCCAGGTTACCTCTGCTTGAATTTCAATGGGCATGCGATATTCAACGTTGCGTCTGGATTGTCACCTAGATGGAAGTTTGACCAGTTGTCGTCTGGGATCACCAAGGCTGCCATGCAGTATTGAACAGGTGTTTGAGTATCAGATATTCCAACTTAATACCAATATCCACCTGGCTTGGATATGGCGGAGACCAAGGTGTGCCAAGAAAGCGACGTCTGGCACTAAGATGTGCGGGTTAAATAGTGATGCGCTGTAAGCCAGTTCACAGAATCAGTTAGCATCACATACATTGCAAAGCAGGCTAATGCGTGTCGTCAGAGCACCAACAAGAGATGAGATGTAGTAAAGTAATAGTGTGATTGAAAGAAACCGGTTAATGTCGGTATCACGCGCTGCTAAGATATCATGCAAGGTCATTGTCGCCTTCCGGGATGCATGATTGATAAGCCCCAACTCCTTTTCCTTCATGTATGATGTCCTCCAAACCAAGGGCGGACGAAAACGCCCTAATAATGCAGTAACTTGAATGAAGAAGTGTCGCTTTTGTAGTTCCATTCCTGAGGTAAACCAGCTTAACCTCTGCTCCTTTTGATTTCCACTTTTGTCGTCGAAAAGACCTTATCGCTTACTCCTGCGTCAAGATTGGCTGGTACCGCATTTGCAGCACCCATTTGTTGTCAAAGTCGATGCCTCTGCGGATCTTGGTCCCAGCTTTCTTCCAGACGGCAGCACCAAGACCCATGTCAGCAATGAACAGCTTCCAGTCGTTGTCCTCTGCCACGGCCCCTCCTACTTGGGTACTGATGGGATCCGATTCAACCGGGGCCATCGCCTCGAGCAACCCCTTCTTCGGTGCGCCCATAGCGACAACGTATCGGGGTTTGACATATAGACGGCCACCATCGATAATGCTGACCTTTCCAGTCGACGGGTCGATACCAGTTGGCACATCCACCGCGAGAACAAACGCTTCGTTGCGGTTGGCCCATTCAATCAGCTCGTAGACGGTGGCTTGGTCGCCAGTTCGCAATTCCTCGAACGAGATTGCCAAGCCCAAGAGGGCATCGATGATGAGGGTTACTGAGGCTGCCGGGTTCGAAGATGTCTTTCGGAGCTGTTCAAACAACTCCAGCTTGGTGTGCACGCGACCTCCAAAGTTCTTGAAGATTCGGATTTGCTGCCGCATGTCTTCCAGCAAGTCCCGCTCGCGCTCGATGCCAACAACACAAACGAGGATATTAAGCCCCTTGTTTCTAAGATGCCGAGCCGCGGCAATCGCCCGGATACCCGATTTGTTGTTACCGGCCAGCATAACAACAGTGGCAGCTGCCACTGGATTCTCGGTCGGTGCATTAGCCCCGCCTGTGCCGAGTCGTACCTGGATGGCCGGGTCTTCGAGCGCAGTCAAGGTGACTTCTGCTATGCCTCGCCCCGCGTTCTCCGTCATCATGTCTTCTGTCAGCCCAATCTCATTTGCAGCTATGTTCTCAAGATTGAGCATCTGTAGAGCGGAGACGGTTTCCAGACGTCGGTTTGATGGCAAGAGGTAGAAGCCGGGCTGGGTCCCATGCTGCAGAGTGTTAGTACTAAGAATGCTTTGTGAACTATTCTGACGAAGCAACGCTTGGGGCTGTCTGTTCAGACGTACGCTGGAGTTCACGCGATTCAGGGGCTGGCTAGTAAGCTGCGCGCTCGCCTTGCGAGATTGCGACCTCCTTGCAGCCCCTGGCTTGCTCTCTGCCCTCCGACTACCCTGAGCGCTTCGGACCTCGCGCCCGCTCAACCGATCGCCTCCGTTAACGGCGTCATCAGCCTCGCTGTTCCAGAAATCCTGGTTCGCTTTTGAGCTTGAGGAAGGCATGTCGAGCACGTTTTCTGTGTAGTGGAGATTCTTGCCGCCTGCGGTTCCGGGCTTAGGTTTGCGATTGTGCGATACCAGTCTGTCGGCCTCGTCCACTTGATCCTCCTTTCGCATCTGATCGAAAATGGTGCGCTTGTCGAACTTGGCCAAACTGCCCTCGAAGTCGAATTCCGCCATTTCCTCGGTGACGTCTTCGGATGCCCAGCCATTTTCGGGGAGGTCTTTCTTGCCTTTGATTCCGCGCTTGAGTGAATTGAAGGGTTGGAATGAGGGCGAGCTCTGCAGGATGGGCGTCTGTCTCCAGCCCTTGCCACGATTGGCGGGATTGCCACGGGACGGCGTGCTTTCCTGCGCATTCTCCTCGGCAGTGCCGTTCCTTGGGGCCTTTGCCTTTTCACGGCGCCTGTTCTTCTTCTTTGGTTGCGACGGACCCGATGCCTCGTGCGCATCCTGCGCGACAGAAGCTCCAGCGGCGTAATGTCTTGCAGCAGTGGGTGTCGGCTCATCCACGTCCAACTCCTGCAAAGACTCGCTGAGGCCGATATTCACCTCATCTTTTCTCGATGCCATCGCCAGATGGACGGGAGGCAGAACCCCAGGTTGTCCTGGCTGAGGGTCCCTTGCAATGCCCACGTTTGGTTGGGGTATCACCTCAGGAAGGACTTGACTGTCGCTGCCGCTTATAATACCAGAGCCGGGCCGCTTCCCCATACTAAGGATTGCGGGATCAGCGAAGGCAGGTTGCGCAGGCTGGGTGACGACAGGGGCGGGAACAGGACTTATGCCCGGCGCGGTGAAAGTGTTGGGCGCGATTTCTTCCTTGTACTCGGACAGCTCGAGTATGTTGGCCGCATCGATCAATATTCTGGGGATCCAATGGTTTGTGCCCATGGTGAAGACTGCGAAGGCGGGTGTTAGCATGATGGCTCCTTGGGAGTGAAGAGGGTTGGCAGCTTGCCGTTAGCCAGAGTCAAACTGGCGCCAGGTTCAATCTCGCTGACTGTGCCCTTGAGCATGGTGCCTTCAGGCTGGCGAAGGGTCACCAGCATCTGTAGGCCTATGAACTCCATCGTGACAACTGCGTCACAGCGCCCAAATGCTCCGAGTCGTGGGTTGTAACAGAGTGCACCGCACTGGGTCCGCCTCGGGCTCTGTGGCAGACGATATTGGCGGGAGTAAGGATGGTATGATGGCTTTGCGTAGTTCGCGCGTCGTATGGGGAGGCGATTTGGTGGTTTTGATCGCAAGATTCGGTCAGCGGGTAGTTGAGGTTGGGAGATAATTGTGCGTCGTGATGAGGGACCAGATAGCTCTTTCCCCCAAATTCCCCCTCGGACAGATTCACTGACTGGGTTTAGGTTACCTTCACTTTTTCCCTAGCCCAATTCTTATCGATAAAAGGCAGGTAGGCGACCAGGGCAGGTGCAGGTGCAGGTTCCAGGCCACACTGCAAAGTCACGGGGGGTAGGTAGGTCCAGCTATGATTGATCGATTGGCGGTGGCGGGTAGCTACTGCCGCCGTAAGAACAGACGGGACGAACGTCATGGGCGCAAGCTTCCCGTCGCAAGGTACCTTTTTAGTGCATTGGGGTCAGTGCTCATCAGGTACCTCAGTGGAGCAAGATCCCTTGGCAGAGTCGAGCATCTGCTGTACTACCACGTCCCTTGAATTCGTCAACCCGGACAGCCAGCAAGATCCCAATACCTGTCAATCTTCAGCCACAAACACGGGCACTCCCTTTTCTGCACTTTGACCCTGGCGATCGGCCTGCTCCTCTTTGCCTTAGGTCACCTCCTTGGAAGTTTCCGAGTCAACCAATGATCGCGTCCCTCAAGTTGCACAAACGAGATGCCATTGAGTCTCATTATGTCCTAGAATCGCCTTCAAAATAGGAGCAGAGTATTTCCCTGCCTCCAAAGACTACCAACACCGAGGCGTCTCCAACTTCAATTCTAGGTATCTATGTCCAGACCATGATCCCGACCTACCATTCCATGACGGGACTATTCGGGACATGCGCAACCTGCAAGACCCTGCCTGAACGCCGACCAATGCTTTAACAATATGCTCCCAGTCCGCGGCCTAGTATCCGTAGCTCGCCATTGCCTCTTCTTCATCATCAAGATCGATCACCTCAACGCCTTTTCTCACAAATGACTGGGACCTCGAGCTAGGTCCTTGGCTCTTCTTCTTCTCTTTTGCGTCATCTTCTTTGTGTAAAAAGTCGGCCATACTCGGTGGTTTTTTGGCAACGGCCACCTCGGCGCTGTACAGCTTGTTGTAGAATTGTATGACCCTAGGGTGAGCCATAACCTTGTCCTTCTGGAAACGCAGTACCTGTAGACCGTCTTGGCAGGTTGCTCGACTGAGCGCAACGTACGCCTGGCCCTTCTCGAAGACCTTGCCGAGATCGACTTTGACGCGTTCCAACGTTTGACCTTGCGCTTTGTGAATCGAAAGTGCCCAAGCAAGGATCAGAGGTAGCTGACTACGGCTGGCTTGCACCTCTCCCGTTGGTGTTTCGACCTTCCAGTCTTCGGGGACACAAAGAATAGTGCGCGTTGTCCCGTCCACCGCAGCAAATTCAACGACTGGGAATTCGGTCGTTCCGCTGGTCGCTTCCTCAACTTCCCTACTGAAGGCTTTGATCTTCTTCTTTGCCTTGTCTTCCGAGTCCACATCAACATCGGATCCATACTCCGGCATGGTCCAGGACTCGAAACTGCCCTCGCTCATGAACTTGACGACCTTTCCCAGCGACCCGTTGACAAGCGTGTCGTCCATGTTTTTGATCAGCATGACCTGAGCCCCTACCTTGAGTTCGATAGTCTTGGGCGCCATCATGTTCTGGAGCAGCTTGTCGCGCACATTTGCGTCTCCGCCATCGCTGGCATCATATCTGTGGGGTTTGCCAGGAAGGTTGCGCAGGCGAGCTTGGTTGGAGTTCTCGACTTCCCATCGGGTAGGGAATAGTTCCGTCACCTCGAGTCCATCGTCAGATACGATTGGCCGAGTCAACTTCCTGAAAGCCTGGACGGTTTGTTCACTGATCCGTCCAAGGCGCATTTCGTTAAGCATATTGGCAAAAACTGCCACTCATTAGTGTTGCTCAACAAAAAAAAGATTCGGCATGACTTACCTGGGTCCCTTTGTCGGAAGACTTGCGTCAGCCCAATGGTATGGTCAATAGCCGTGTTCCACGTCGCTGCTTCGAATGCAAACTTGGCATCCCTTGACTTGTCGCCGTCGGGAACAGGAGGCAGTTGAAAGAAATCGCCTGTGACTACAAGCTGAATACCACCCCAGGGTTTGCCATTGTTTCTGATAGTCCTCCCGATCTGGGAAAGCTTATCGAATAGCTCGCCGTCGACCATGGACACTTCGTCCATGATTAGTGTCTTCGTCCTGAGCCAGCGGTTCTTGGCCTTCGGGTTGCGTCGAATCTTTTTGACCAAAGTCTGAACATCTTCCTTTCCGAGTCCGATTCCAGAAAAGCTGTGTAACGTCTGGCCTCCAATATTGCATGCTGCAAGACCGGTAGACGCCGTGACAGCCAGCCTTTCCGGGTCTCTCGCCCATTTCTTCTTCAGCTCCGTGATGATGGATCTCATCAGAACAGACTTGCCGGTTCCTGCGGGACCTGTGAAGAAAACGCTTTGGCCCTTGTTTACGACAAGATTCTGGACGTGTTTTTGCTCTTTGGTCAATGCGATCGCAGTCGCCTTTACCTTGGGCATATTGCTTTGCATGACCTCTTTCCGGATCTCGTCCATGCTCCATTCGTCATCGGCGGATTTCTTGGCTTGAATTTTGAGTTGCTTCTTCTGTTCCTTCAGGGCACTCGCAGTCATGTTCCAAGTCTCCTTCTTCTTCTTGGGAGCGGGTGTGACGCCACCCGGCGCCCACATGGAGACTTCAGGCTCATCTTCTTCATCCAGTTTTATGACGTCCTCCTCCTCTTCGACCTTCCAACTCTTCGGAAGCCGACGCTTCTTTGGCTGCGGAGGCAAAAGGGAATCCAATTGGTCCGGTGATTCGCGCTTCAGAGAGGTCTCGGTAGACGCCGTTCGATTTGAATTCTCGCGGCTGAGCTTAGGGTGGACGAAGTGAGAAGCAGGTGATGATGACCAGGGCACGTGTTGGGTCGAGGGTATTCCGGATTCTGGCTCGGTGACTTGCGGCCGGGGAGCTTTCGTCTCCTCCTTGACTTGGGGCTTGGGAAGCGGAGGCAGAGCGGCGGGTGCCTCAAAGTCGAGGTCGAGAAGGTCGTCATCGCTAAAATCGTCCTCGGCAAAGTAGACTGCGGGTTTGGCTTTGTTTTGCGTGTCCATTCCAACAGCTGTGTCTGGCTCGTCTCGAAAAGAGTCTGATCTGGAATATAGCGAAGCGAAAGATTTGCCATTTGGCTGTGGTATAGAGTCCAAAGCAGATCGGCTGCTGCTCGCAAAGTGTGTAACACTGGCTGTGCGGCCAGGCGGTGGCCTCGGTTGGTTCGTGGTCGTCGACGGGTTCCCCGCGGTCCTCGCCGATACGGCGGCAGAGGAGGCCTGCTGGCTTGTCCTCTGGAACTGGCTCATGATGTTGCCATTTTGTGTGGCACTCGGACTGCTCGAGGGGAAGAGCTGCTTGGCCAGGTCGTTCTTGGTGGGTGGAGGCGCGTTGGCCTCGTAGGCCTTCTTGGCTCTAGACAACATTGAATCTGGATCTAGGTCCGGGTAGAGGCCCGGGGTGTGGACATGGGCAACTTGAACGGCTCTCTGAAGGGTTCGGCGGAGTATCGGCGAGGATCGAAGATGGAAGAGGCTGGTTATTCCAGCCGGCATCCAAGGGGATTGAGTGTAAACATTTGTCTTCGGTTATCGTGGCGGACGCAGGTGGAGGGCGTTTCTTCCCTTGTCGCAGGCAGCCAGGAGGGAAAGTTTCGACGCTGATTGACCAGTCGCAGCAGGTGTGACCGCTGGGGAAGCGCGTGTCCAGCGCGTCGAGGGTGTAAATTTCGCGCTAGATGAGGAAGGAGGGGCCATATTGATTGCTGAGTCATCCACATCTAGACACCTCAGAGCAGGGGTGCAGCGCCTCAGTTCGAACCCCCACTAAACAAACAACCTCGTCCCTGTCCATCTTTGCCAGGGGTCTTTAATTGATGCCGTGATCAGTTCCATCTATCCGTACCTATTTGAGTACCCTACGTTCGGATCCCGCAAACACATTCACACGTCGGTAACACGTCTTACATGCTGTCGTCTGCGCAACTATTGAATCCCTAAGGCAGATTTTCCACAATGGGCCAATGACCGGCTGTTCGGTTGCCATCATTGGCTGGTGTTCGCCCACGTCCACGGAGACTCCTCCCCCGCGCATTCTGCATCTGCAAAGCTGTCGAGTCGGGTCACCCGCAGGAGCTGCTCGCCTCACGTCGGGCACTCAAGCACTCGCGTTGTCGACTCGACTGCTTCTTTAGGCACGAACCTTGGCGAAACCTGGCCGTTACTGATACTTATTTGCCCTCTTGCCCTCTTGTGGGACGCTGTTGCTCTGACAACTCTGCTTCACTCTGACTGATGGTCTTTAGCTTGGATGTCATTCTGAATACAATCTTTCTGATATCGACGATTTACACTGGTTTCTGTCAAATTGATTGGGAATACAATATGCCGCCAGTCTCAGTCTCGAACATTCAACCACTAAAGAAAGGAACATATTACGGCCGATAGCCAAAAGAGTTTCGCTTCGTCCCTCGCCCGAGGGGATCGAACGGATTGTCAAAATGGGTGCGTGCCGGACGCTCCCGTTCTCTCATATAGTCCCGAGCCGCCTCCTCCTCGTATGTCTCGGGCGGAATCGGTCGGAAGAGCCTACCTCTGTCGAGTGATGGCCGACGAAATCGCCCTTCCATGGACCGGTGGTGCCGCCTTGCAATTTCTTGCCCCTCAGCCTCGAACTCTTCCTCCATTCGTCGATCATGTTCGAACTGGGCTTCGTCTTCAAGTTTCAGGCGTATGACGTTTTCCAAGTCGTCATCGTGTCTCCTGCGGGCAACCTCCTGGGGTTCTACCCTGCGGATAGGGAGATCCCTGAGGTCTCGTTGTATCACTCTAGCGGATGGTGCAGCCCGACGACGGTTGAACATGTCTTCCAGTTGGTCTTCGAGATCCCCAACACCATACGGCTCTTGCCTGCTGGCAATCCGTCTGGCCAAGAGTGATTCTTCAATGTAGGCCGGGCCATCAAGCATTGGCAGGGCTGTTGGTGATGTTGGAGCAGCGAGCAAACGCCCACGCAGCGGCTCTGAATCGAGGATGTAGTGCGGATCTTGTCCGTCAGATCTTGTATGGTGACGAAGGCCTTTCAGCCCGTATTCCTCTGGACGACCGCGACGACGACTTCGGCTGCGGCTGCGGCTATGGCGACGTCCCCGACGGCGACGACCATGTTTGGACTTGGACGACTCCGATGAGTCTGGGGAATCTTCTGTTTCGGTGTCGTACAATTCACTGGAGAAATTGGAGCTGCTTGAAGTCCGGGAGCCAGAGGAAGGAACGATGTAAGTCTTACATTTCCCTCCTTTCCCGTGGTCCTTTTCCACAACCTTGACTATGGGAGCCGCTGTGGCTTTTGGAGGTGGCGGTAACTTGTGTATTGGAGGCAGCGGCGGCAGTTGCTGAGGCGGTGGGCGCAGTCTTTCTTGCTGAGCCTGATGTTGCTGGTGCATGAGAAATTCAACATGGTGGCGATCCTGCTGCATTTGTCGTTGAAAGTGGAGGTTTCGTGCCTCAGACTCTCTTTGCTGAATCAAGATCTCTTCCTCCTTCTTGCTGCGATACATTGCCAAGGCATCTTCCTCGAAGCGAGGTTCCTTTCTGAAATATGCCGTCACGGCGATCGTCTCGAACAAGTTCTTCTTTGACTTGGACAACGCTGACTTCCCTCTTGCAACAACAACTTTCTTCGCTTCTCTGTCCGCCATATATTGTTGATATTGGTAAGAGTCCTTGTGGAGCTTCTTCATCTTGGAGCTAATCTGTTGCAGGGTATAGCGATAGCGCTTGTCGGTGTTGCGTTTCTCCAGCGCGTTCTGTGCCTTTTCGATCTGCAGCTGCTGGTTTGGCGTGAGGTCCATCTTCTTCTGCAGGGCAGTTTGACCTTCCTCGTTGAGTTCTCGGATGTTCCTGATGATGTCTTTACGGGACAGGTCACGAACCTCAACCCGTCTGACGTTTTCCCAAGTTGGCTTCGTTGGGAACCCTTCAATGTCGGTCTCCATGGGATCCAGGACCTTTTCGAAGCGGTATACGACGTACTCGGACAGGTATTCGCGTGCGCTAGCGTCCGTCATTCGTTCGCTTCGAAGGTCCGAATATTCCACGAGTCTTCTCTCTCGCAGCTCGGGAGGGATTCTATCACGTGGGGGCTGTATCGGCACCTGTTGTACTGGCATTTGTTGGAGCGGCACCGGTGGCGGCATGTGGTGGATAATTGGTCCTGGGTGCGCTGGGTGATGTGCTGTGGGAGGGCGGGCTACAGCAGCGGGAGGCATTTGACCTCCAACAGGCCTTACGGGAGGCGGCGGAGGCCCGGGGTGTCTGACAGCGAATGGTCCCGGTACCTGTGCCCGGCCCGGCGGAGGAGGTGGAGGAGGAGGCGGTCCATGATGATGCGGCACCTTGGCTCCAGCCGGGTGCGGTGGTGGAGGAGGAGGTGGTGGAGGTTGACCACCTCCCCCTGGCGCGAACTTGATAACTCCAGGTGGGAGTGCCATGTTGGTGTTGAGCAGCGATAGGGGATTTTGAAGATGGCGATGCAGCTCGGTGAGTCAGGGGAGAGAGGCAAGGGTTGGTTATATGGACTCTTCAAGGCCGTGGCCAACGTGAAGCAAAAGCGCAGCAGTAAGAAGGGACTAATGTGCAAAACCAGTTGCCTCGTTCAGAGAAAGAGCACAAAAACGGTCCCGAGTCCCGAGACGTCGACAGTGAAAGTGAGGCGAACCAATTTTCTATGGGAGGGTGTATGAGACAAGAGTCGAGGGATCAAGAGGGTGTGGAGGTGCGCTGTCTTGTTGTTTTTATCTTTGCCAGAGACGACAGACACACAGCGCAGGACTTTGCTCAACGGCGACGGCGACGTGACACTTACAGCCACAGTGACACTGATCTAGGCAGCGTAAGGTTGCCCAGGTCTAGTGTCGGACCTGGGAAACGGGGGGCGTTTTCATTATTCGGAAGCAGACGAAGATACAGACGGAGAAATGAAGAAACGGCCGTCAGGGGCTCCGTTTAGTCTTTCAAGCAGAGCGATGACTCTCACCGCCTGGAGGACAACTTTCTCCTGCCATTATTCAGCCTATCACTGGCTCTGCCACGCCACCTCTCCCATCAGCCATATTCTTCCTGGCGAGGCAACCATTATTATCCTTGTCGGTGAGATGGTGGGCATTGCCGCTCACCTTGTCTCGGCAGCCTGGTCTCCGCGAGCGGCACTTCCCACACCTGGGATTCTCCAAGTGAGATAATCCTCCGGAATTCAAAGGATCCAAGGTGCTTCCCAAAGTGTTTGAGCCTTCAGCCGGCCAGAAATTGAGCCAAGCGCGTACGTACTCGAGGCCTGGAATCGATCACGACTAGTCTTGGAATCGGTACAGACCTTTGGTTTCGCTGAACACTGGCCAGGTTCCTCGAGCAAATCGCAGTCATCAGACTCAAGATAACCCCCCAAAAGAAACCATTGGAGTCTATGTTTGAGCATCCTTGCAGACTGCGACTACATACCCCGCAACCAACGGGGTCGCTTTCTCCCGCGACGAGGAAAACGAGGTGCGGGAGGGCGCGTCGCGGCATGATCACCTGGGTTGCAATGGTCCGCAAACGAGGCAACCGGCCAGCTAGACCATCATCGATTTCAGACTCTCACCGAAGCTGGCTGTGCCTCTTTTAGGGATTGCAGGGGTTGCGTATGGCTTCGTGCACTTGCGCGGGGTGATGGCGAATGAGTGCAGCCCCAGCCTGGCACCGCCCCAATCGGGGCTAGAATTCTTACACTTTTTGGTACTTATATCAACCATCACTCGACACCCACTAGGATTCCATCTTGAGGCCTCCAATTGGCAGAAGAGGAGCATCAACTGACCAGATAAAGAAGCGAGCATTAACGTGCATGAGCAGTTACACGATAGTGGCTTTCCCCGCCAATCAAGCGTGCACGAAATAATATCCTGGTCTACTTTATACCTCTGCTCGGTCATAGGAGCAGAAGTCATTCACCCGGCGATCGCGGTCGGTCAAGAAGCCAGTGATGCACGTCTTGCTGCATTGCAACGCAGAACGCCCGTCATCACCGGGACAAGAGGAAGCTCGTTGACGCGATTAAACACGGATACTGAAATTCAGTACCGCCCTCGGTGCCGTGAGACGGCATCAAGAAGGTAGTCGCCGTGGCGCCAGGTTGCACTTTGCAAAATGCAGTTCCAGTCGCAGGACTCCTCCGTATTGATTCCAGGAACGGCTGCCCATGAGACAGACCTAGAGAAGCGGGAATAAGGATCTCACAGTCTTGTTTTGGAGACTCAGTCTGACAGCTAGCCTATTCCGTCATTTTCGATGATCCGGCTTACAGCTCCAAGGCTTCGACTCCGCCCACCTATCAAGTCGTCGATTAATACCAAGCTCCGTCAGGGACTGGCGATGGGAGGATGAGACAAGATGGCCCTCCGTCTCAGTCGCTATCGCAGAGCCGCAGCTTGATAGTTGCCTAACGGGAACTTATTCGCGACGGTCGGTTTGGCTCCCGGCACCATCCATGTTGACGTACAACATTGGATGAAGTTATGGATCTCGACCTGTTCTTCCCGAAGATCATCACGGCAAGACAAGGAAGTCCCTGTTTTGAAATACGACGTTTACTGAGGCAGACCATCTCCGGATGCCGGTCCAACTACTTTGGTTCGAGACCGCAGGCCATGAGCTGTTTTACCGTGCCACGTTCATCGATCGTGATGGTAAGGAGTGGTGTCTGTCGTCAGTTCAACGACTTGTCCTACAAAAGGCGTAGAAAGCTTCATGCCTAGGGCTATCTTGAGGCTCGTCATATTCCACACGGCCGATTTCACATCGCACAGAGACAGCCACAGTGTTTCCACAGGGCTCTTCAACGCCATACACACAAAAATGGCCTTTTGCACTGGGGTGGCCGAAGATGCAACAGACCGGAAACAGAGGTATCACAAGCCAGGCATACCAAGCCTGCGGGCTGTTGCTGTACAGTACTTACACAGCAGGCGTCTCTCACCTGCCGTTCGGCATCATCTCAACCCAACCATCACACATGTACGATGCGAAGGCCCAACTAATTACTCAGGCTGGGCGCTCAAGTAAAAATGTCCTGTTCCACCGAGGTAAACTTTGTTCACGTACCACGCGCAGACGGCTGTGAACGGCTTCATGACAGGCGGGAGGGAGCATCATCGCCGTCATACAGGGTTAACGGTTCTCGGAAGACAGTTGGAAACTCAAAAACGGTTTCTGTCCATCACTAGTTCTGTCCTCCGTGCAGCTCTTCGTCATCATCGTTCCACCTGTCAAAGATGAGGAGACCCATCCGAAGAACCCGACTCTAAGCCAGTCTCCAAGATTGTTCCTTAATCGAATCGACGAAGCGGTTTTCATTCCGCAAGACGGGTCATGCGCTGATGCTGAACCCTCCCTGCAGCGAAAAAAAGTACTTGGCTTCCAATAACTACGACATGCGTACACCCACCCTGTCAGGCTGCGCCCGGTCTAAGTGCCAGCGTCGTAGATGGCGCAAAATCTTTTCCAAAATGCATTTTTCCTTCTGAAGTGTCGTTCAGTTTACCGTTCCATTGTCTCAAGAGGCTAGAGGTTCGCAAGTTGCCTTGCGGTTGCCTCGTTGCTTGGCTTACACGACTATTGGGATTCGTAAGATTCTAGGTTCCGATTCTTTACGTGGTTTTTTTGTACAATGTGCCTTTTATTTTCTTCCTCGTCGGATTTATGTTTCTTTGCCGAGCGCGCAGCGGCGCGGTATGGATGACGCCCAATGGAATACCCGCAACGAGTCATCTGGTGCTTGGACAGCGTGTCTGTTGCACTGCATTCGGTGATGACCGGTTCGGCATCCGAGGCAAATGTGCTCTTACACAGAGGAAGAGAAAGTGAAGCCTTTAAACAAGGTATGTTTGATAACAGTGGCGTGCAAAAGCTACTCTGCAAAACAGCACATTCAGCCTTGATTTCGGCGGCCCTGAGCCTATCCCATCAACCCATGTCTTCACGGCTGTTCCCGGCGACGCCATCAACGCCATGTCTTATTTCTTGCCCTGCAAATGGAGGAGCTCTCCCGAGGAACTTTGCAAGCTCGTCAAGATATCAACTATTGTAAACACAGTATTCTCAATGAAGACAGGGCGATTAGTTTAGTGGTATAACGACCCCTTCGCATGGGGTAGGTCCTAGGTTCGATTCCTAGATTGTCCATCCTTTTGCCTCTAGCGATGAGTGTAATGTTTTGTGCCACCGAGAGCATTGGGAGACACTTCTGCTGACCTTGCGGCCCCCTGTTTCGCTTTCGTTGACGGCACTATTCACTTACATTTGTGTTGGCAAACGCAGTCGATTGAGCAAGGAAACTAGCCCATCCCTTCCCGGTCCCCCAGAACTGTTTCTTTCCTTTCTGATTGCGGCCTGAGACCTAGCCGTCATCCGCATGGTGCCTGATCCGACGACACACCCAGTATCATGCACTCCGGAATCATAACGCCTTTCGACGTCCGTTTTTCGGTGAACGACAGTAGATCATGCTCTCTCATGCTGTCAATTCTTCTTTCGACTAGATCCGTGACACATATACACCGCTTTTTGACATGGAGATACGGATCCAGGGGGGTTGAATCACGACATTAGCGTCGGACGATTTCCTATGACCAGTCATACCGACCTCTACGATCCGGTCAAATAGGGGCTACATAGAATGAGTGTGCGGTTGTACGTGGCCTCGAATGTTGCTGGTAAGTGGTCTTGGCCTGGGTCTGGATCGGAAGATGCTACCACCGGGTCGCAGGCGGTGTCTCCGGCATCAAATGACTGGCGGGCGGGTTTGGACGAAGGTCTGGAACTTGTCGGCATATCTTTGGGGTTGCACATCCACGACGCGGAAGGACGAAACTGAAAGTTCATGGGGGTCCTTAAACCACGAAACTTGATTGTAGCGTATGGGGGAATATGAATGAAAAGTTGTGTAGTTCGGGCTTTGAGTCAGGCACTAAACAGAGACTGGGCTGTCTGGAGACCACCGAGCATTAACATTTGGTCATCTCGGTATCTTACAGGTTGTAGGAAGGTGCAATCTGAAATAGGCGGCGGATACTCGTATTCAGTCTGGTGGATTATCTTCGAGTCATTGGTTCTTTCTAAAAGGAAGGTGAGTAAGATAAACCTATTTCACAATACAGAGCACATAAGGCAACGAGGACAAGAAGTCAATAAGTTTGGATATTAGCAAACATGTGTTGCACACCTCCTTTCCGTAGGAAGACAGATTGAATTGAAGTCATGGTGTTCAGTGTTCACTCAAAGGTCAACATAACACGTGTGTATTTTGTCCTCATTCTACCACTGTGAATCTTCCCAGGCTCCAGGGATCTTAAGCCGTTTTTGTTTCTTGAGGTATCCCGACTTGCAAAGTTTCTTCAACGATCTTTTTTCGAACCTCTTTTGAAAAAGCTCTTTTGCGTAGTGGAATGATCGAATGGCATTCGGGGTGTGTGTGGGTTTATCGTCAAATAAATCCCATCCTCTCAAGTCGTCGCAACTGCGATCCCTTGGCGTCGATAGAGCAAATGGCCAGTGTGCGTCGGCCTCATACCCAGTTGTCTCCGTTTTCCACAGAATGTGCTGGCGAGTATTATTTTCGAAGCCCTCGCCGTCCCAATTCCTGAAAGTTCGACTTGGTGGGTAGTCTCCAAAAGCGCCGAAGTTCTTGAACTCTTGCAAAACCTCGCTGGCCAGACCGTCAGCATCAACTTGTCGGCGCCACATTGGGACGTCGAATCCGCATATGGTCTTTCTTCCTAGCACTTTCAACCAACAGACCCCTTGGTAGCGACGATAATATCCTAGCTTCCTCCATTGTTTCTCACAGTGAGCCATTTCCCATTCCAGATAGTTCGTCATGTCTATTCCGGAAAGCTGCAAAATGCTTATCCATCGCGAAAGTGCGATCTCGATAGACCAGTGGCAATCGCTATAGCGGAGTATCCTTGCATATGCACTCAGGCATGCGGAGCAATCCTTGATATTGGGAATTCCTCCATCCTGACACTCCATATGAACGTCGATACCTTCATTGATGAGTGTGCCAAAGATGTCAGCCCATGTCGTGAAGTACATGTCATTTGGAAGCCAGCGAGTCGGCTTCTCGGTGTTCCTACAAAAGCAGGCCACAGCTGTAATCCATGACCAGTTACGGAATGCTTCTTTCTCAAAATCAGCCACCTCTGAAGATCGGATTCGATAGTAGCACGGGAAAAAGTCATCCGGGTCCAGAAGAAATTCATTCAGCCACCGCATCCTTGTGATCGGTGGAAGACCCATGGCCATGAATATATCGTCCAGCTTGGATAGCCGTGACTGTTTTTCGGCGGCAGTGCCAGTAATGCCAGAACCGTAACTTATCACCTCCCCCCAAGGCCTGCAGAGACTTGTCGCTGGGTCAACCTCGGGTCATTTACGATGAGAGGCGTTACTTACTCTTCACCAAGACACTGCCGAAAATTTTGTCGGGCCAAGAAATGACAAATGGTCGGCTGATAATGAGCAGCTGCGTACTGCAATTCTCACCGTAAGTCTACATGCCTCTCGTGTGCGAGTGTTCTCGAAATACATACCTCAAAAAGTGTCATGGAAGCAATAAAGGATGTGGGGATAATCTCGCGGTTCGAGAACATGGTTTGAAGGCCTCGTAAGTCCCCGTTTCCTATGATATTGGTGACTTTTATCAGAAGCTGGGGGTTGATTTCTCGCGCGATGGAGTGCTGGAGGCTCAGAGAATAAGAGATAGGAGTCTTTGTGTCCAAAGCCCACCTGAGTTCGATCCTCGTGGAAATTCCACGAATGCCAAACGAATAGGTTTTGGACTCTTGCACGTTGGCAAGATCATGTAAGTCGCGCAGTCGAGATTTCCGCGTGATCTTGGTAGTTTTGAACTCCCCAAAGAAACCAATCCGTCTTGTCGTATCTATCTGGTCCCGCTCTGTCGCCTCACTTGTGCCAGGCACTAACAGCGCTGTAGACGTCACATTGACTCCTGATACAAGTTGCCTCTGTGGCTTTGAAGGACGAGTCTGGTGCGGCAACAGAAGCTGCTCCACAACACCGAAGCGTGAGCTATTTAAGGCGTCAGCGACAGTTCTCGGCAATGAAGACAGAATCGATGATATACAGAAGTTCTGCGGTCATCATATGTTGCAGATCATTCAAGTCTCCGTCTAAAGCGGCGCTCAATTTCTTTATCTCATCCTTCTTCTCTAAGAAGAAGAACCCGACCGTATGCAGAGCTCGAGGTTTTGATGCCCTTCGCTCTAGTTTCGCTACTATTACGTGTAGTTCTTCCAGAGTCGACTGAATGCTCTGCAAAACGCAAATGCCCCAAGTCTCAATGACATCAGAGCAGTGAAGATTTGTGTCGTCCTTCTCGAAGTTTTTCCTGATGGCGCCACAAATCGCCTCGACACGCTCGACTTTGAGTGCCAGGCGGTTGATCTCAGACGAAGCAGATCGATAGGTTCCGATGACTCGCCTGACCTTCACTGCCGAGTCTATAAGTTGTAAAGAGAGTCCGATGATGCCGATTGCTGCCTCCATCGTTGGCCGCAGTTCGCTTTCAAGACACAATGTCCACGTTCGGAGAATCATAGAGGGAAGCAGTTCATGTGCTGAATATACAGCGTCTTTCAGTCGTCACAGCGGTTGATGCGGGGATTTTCAGATGGTCCGCCTGATTGTACGCCCGATGGCTGCTGATGGCCAGTTAAGGGCGCGCGCTGCATAGGAGCACCGGGGGTGAGAAGGCGGACTGCTTCGTGGCCCAATAGGCGCATCTGTTGCTGTGTAACATTGTTGCTCTTGCAGACACAGCCTCCTTCCAATTCAACAGGCAGCAGTGGCAGCAAATTTGACCACTTCGAGGCTCCCAGAAAAGCACTGACTGGTCTAGAAAGCAAAGAGGAACGAGGGAGGCCTCAAAGCAGGGTAGTATATGTATACAACCAGGTTTATGCAATTATGAAGTTTATAGCTAACCAATCCACCCCTAAAGTGTGTACTAAGAACGTCTAATTATGTAGATCCAACTACTTTATGTGCATCCTCTATCCTTCTCACCTTCCTCAATTATGTACTCAAACGTAGAAATCCAACGGCAAGTTCAGAAACTTGCACTGCTCCAAATCCTTGAACCCTCTCATCATTTGCTTCTCTACTGGCCAGTCAATGGATCTCATACTCATGTTGCCTTTCATCGACGGCTCCCAAGGCCCGGACTTCTCAAAGGCCTCCAGCGTGGAGTTGAATCCCCTAGCTCGGAGGAAGTTCTTGTCAGGATTCGGGTCGTACGTCCTCGCAAACGACGTAAACGTATCAACGAGATACTGCTCCCAAGGCAAGTCGTACTCATCTCGGAACGGCAGACGCTGTCGTGCGAGATTGCCGAACAACGACACCAGCTCTCCGGAATGGCATCGAAGGTTGTCGGTGGACGACTCCGGGTTCCCGTTCGGATGCTCCTTCGACTTTGGTGCCTCACAGAGATCGAGCCGCGGCCATTCTGGTGTCTGATACGTCCGCTCAAACTCGTAGTAGTACACCTTCGACCCCAGTACGCCGCTTTCGAGACCCGCGTACACAGTCGCCTGGTCTATGCAGCGAAACATGGCATCTGTGGCGAGTCGAGCGCCGACACCAAACGCTTGCCTCGTCTTGTTCGTTGTCGTATTCAGTGGGGGAAATAGATTTCGCGGCGGGTCTGGAAGGCCTTGGGAAGTGAGCCACAGGGTGGTGTTCGGGACGGTGCCATTCTCAGGAAAGATGAGAAACGCAAGACCATCCTCGGCGGTCGTTCCCATCATTAAGTGGACGTCCATCTTGTCACCACTGAGCTGCAGCTCATTCGACGTCAAGTACTTGCCATCCACGACCATGTAGCGAGCTCCGCGATTGAGCTTCTCGACTGGTACTCGGCGGAGACAATCGACACGCGACCGGTTATTGGTGCAATTCGTGGCGTTGAGAATGGTGTTACCGACAACTTCCATCGCTTGATCGATTGTGAAGTACTTGGCGTACGAAGCCCCATACGTCAGTCCGCCTAGGCTGCTCATGGGAATCGCTGCTGCGAACTTGCCCTTTGCCTTGGGTGACGCCATCAGAGCGCGAACAGAAGCGCCCCCAGCAGACTGGCCAAAGATTGTGATTCTGGCAGGGTCTCCCCCGAAGTCCCTAATGTGCTCCAGGACCCAGTCCAGTGCTACTATCTGGTCGGCAAGGCCAAAGTTGCCATTCGTCACGTTGTCGTCCAGCGCAAGGAACCCGAGCGTGCCAAGTCGGTAGTTGATGGTGACAACTACAACATCACCCCGCGAAGCAACATTACCCCCGTCGAATAGAGGGTCGCTGCCAAAACCGCTGGTGAGAGCACCTCCATGAATCCAAAACATGACTGGCCGAAGCCTCTCATCCGTTTGTCTAGATCGTGGCAGGTACGGTGTATAAATGTTCAGGAAATGGCAGTCCTCGCTGCCGCCGAAGCCCTGATAACACGGAGAGCCGAATTCGAGGGCAGACACATTCTTCCCACCAGATCCCTTGTACAACTTGGGGTAGTCAAACCGCCTTGTCTGAGATGCGAATCGAAGGCCGTGAAAGCGGAAGCTGTTCCTGTCGCGAAAGCCGAGGGTGTCGTCGTTATTCGAATTCACCATCACCTGCCACCGCTCGCTTGTATCTTGGGCAACGCCGTTGGAGAACGGTGCCGAATGAGTACACAAAGCTGGGAGCTTGTCGGAGGCGCTGGGAGAGGACACGTTGCCCTTGGAGCTGATTGCTCTGGGCTTGTTGTCATTCTTTGCTGTTGCGATCCAGATCGCAGACACGTTCTTTTCCTGGTAATCCAGGATTGCTAGGAGTCTTTCGGTGCTATTTGTCTCCGGAGACCAGAGCAGCTCGCCGAGCTCTCTGCAAGTAGCATTGGCCTCATCGAAAGAGAGTCCCTCGCCCAAAAAGAGTGCGCTGAAGTTGGCCGAAGGGCTCTGCGTATCTGGGCAACACTCTCGTCAACATTTTGGATGTGTCTGGGGAAACACGTGCCCTTTGCGACTCACCTTGAAGATCATTGTCTCGAAGGATTGTGATGTCTGTCTTCAAGCCTTGTGGCGACGGTGCGCACAAGGCAGCTGCAGCTAGCAAGGCGATCAGAGCGGCTCCCGTCCACATGACGTCTTACACCGAAACCGAGATAACAACTCGCCAAACACGCACAACTCCTATGTACAATCATGGAGAAAAACACACGACACCTGAAATCAAGGGACCAAAGGAGCGGAAAAGTGCAGTTGTTGTCTTTAAGAATAAGCTGAACAGACTCGAGTCGTGCGCGCCATCTCTTCCCAATGAACAGGACTATCCGCTCAACTTAACCCAACCGGACTGCCCATTGCGCCGAGCTGCGTGAGGATCGGAATCAGGCCAAGGAACCAGGAAGCAAAGGCGAGGCAAAGGAAAAGTCGGCACGGTCCGGCTAGGCGTCCATGTCAACCAATTTGGGTAGGGCAGTTGTGGCCTCTGCTGGGAGAGCTATCCTATGCTGCTTGGGAACACGCGAAGAAAGCTTCCCTGCAGCTGCCCTCGACATCACCTTCCATTCAAGGAACAACGCAGAGAAGACGGCAAAGATGGTGTGAGCAGCCAACAGGGAAGTATGATGGACGTGGGCACTCTTGGGGTTTTAGGCTGTCTGCATGAGATCGCCCGGCGGCCGATGCTTGGTCCGAGCCAGGGGACTGCGGAAAACGCTCAGGTTTCAAACCTTGGGCTTCTCCAGCGCGCCCGCGACATGCTGCGCTCCCAGTGTCTGGTAAGTGGATTCATAAGCTTGAACGACTTTGTTTCTGCGTTTATTCCACCTCGGAGGCTACTTCGCCTCGGTGTTGGGCAACCTCGGAAGGCTTGCTGTCTCGCTGGCAGCCCACCACCACCATCTACACCATCCGCCCCATTTTCCTGCCGATTGGATATATGTGACGTCCAAGACAACACACTTCGGGTGACAGGCGAGTGCCGGTTGTCCGCTTCGATCAGGGAAAGCTGGCGAACTCGGAGCGGCCGGCGGATGGACTCTGCAAGACTTGCCGTATTCCGCCGCCCACTCGGATCGGTGCGGTAAAATGCTGTAACACGCGCCTAACGTCCAAGACTGAGCGAGCGTAGTGGGAACGGCAGGGAACTCGGCGGGAGCGAGGTGAGTGCGCGGTGAGATGAACGACACTGCAACATGGTCCAATCCACAGCGATCTCGTTCAATCACGGTTTGATCGTTCCATATATTACAGTTTCTGCAGCATTGGCCAAGGCCTAGAGCACCTTCACGAAACGGACTGTTGGGTCCTTCTCCTTCGATCTGATGCTCGCTTACCATTGTAGTCTTTGGAGCTTGTCCATGCGGATGAAACTCTCCATCCAGCAGGAACGGCTTACATCATTCAGAATAAGCTTGCTTCATCCTCTCTTCCTGACTCACGGAAGGTGGGTGGGCGGGAGACGGAGGCTCAGCATTGATGGGACAGCTTTCAGTGTATCACATCGACGACACGTCAGGTCAAGACAGGTTGTGTGTCGGATGAACTACGGAGTCAAATTCCTTTTCGTAACTGCCAATGGCTAAGCAGAAGTCTGCGACTCTTTGCGGCTCATCTCTGTAACTCCTCCGCATGGCGGTGATGCTTGACAAATGCCTGAAGCCAGGTTCTCTTCTTGATCCATATTTAACTTCCAAGGTGCAAGTGCCCAAGACACTGTCCAACGCTTCGTACCCCAGGTACCTCTTTGTTCTTTTCCTCACGCATTGGGGGGACGCTCGCCCTTGCAGCACTCGAACTTGTCCTTGCTGCCGATCCAGAAGAAGAGGTTCCAGTCATCGCAGTCGAGCATGCCCTGGACCTCCATCTTGCCATTGGTGCCGCACTCGTTGAAGCCCTGGGCTAGGGTGGCCCAGATGTCGGAGTTGCCCACAACCGTATCGTTCGCCTGAACCGAGAGGTGGGGGTGGCCGACGGCGTAGAGGCAGCTGCCGCTCTGGGCGAGCTCCAGGTAGTGGCGGCCCTCGAGGTCTCTCTTCTGGATGGTCCACTTTCCGTGGTTGTTGTACCAGAAGCGGATGAGGTCCTCGCAATCGCCGGGGTTGGCGCCCTTGCCACGGCTGGGGTCCATGCAGGTCGGGCCGACGTACTCGCAGACGCGCTGAGGCTTCGGCGCGAGGTCGAACTGGAGGCGCTTGGCGAGGGAGTTCTCGGTGCCGGCGTCCTCGCGGTCGTTGATGATGGGGAGGTTGCCGGCGAAGGGAGCGGTGTTGTGGTAGTGGGCGCCGGGGGCCTTGTGGTCGACATCCTTCAAGCCGTCGCCGCGGGTGGAGAGCATGGCGGCGTTGACCCAGACAGGCTGGCAGGTTCCGTCCTCGCGCTTGGTTTCGTAGCAAACTGCTCCGTCGTAGGGCCGCTCGAGGTTGCTGCAGATGACGCCGCAGTTGGGGTCGACGGGCTTGCCGATGAAGGGAATGGCAGTGCTGGAGATGACAGTGAAGGCCATCACAGTGA